GATGAAGATGATACATGAAGTTGAGAAAGTTACAATGTTATTTATATATGTTAAAGGTTCTATCATCTAGTTCTCCAATTTCTTTGAAATCCTAATTTATCCTAATTAAATGTATTACTTGAACCTTCTATTATTTTCAAGTTATTTCTAAAGTGATTAAATCATTTAAATTCCTTTGATTAAGTTTAACCTGAGAATTAAAGGTCTGTTTTATCAAAATTAATTTGGATTTGACTCAATTCCTAAGATCTCAATTTTTAATTGCATCTGACTCAACTATTTATACAATTGCACCTGTCTATTTGCATACAGTATATTTGCATAATCTGTTCATTTACATATACAAAATAAAAATCTTTATATTGTATCACATTATAATTTATCACATGACTATGATCTATAATGGCCTTTTTTTGCCAAATCAGGCAGGCCGTTATAGAGAGAGTGAACTGTAATTGTGAAAGAATAATACTCCTTTTTCGTAGCTCATATAATTTCCCCCTCCTATTGATAACAAATGAGTGCGAGTATTCATTACTTGTTTGATTAATCATTACTATTAATTCCTATATTAAATCTTTATTCTGCAGTGAAGATTAGAGCAACTAGCTGTTTTAGGTAAATTGTTGGTGGGTTTTTTCCTTTTTGACACAAATTGATTTAAATTTAGTGATATTCTAGAAATATATTTTGCAAAGATTTTATGGCTGAAGTGAAATTTTGCCAGCCGATTACAAAAAAAGATTTATCAGCCGGCTAAGCCATTTTAAAAATTCCATAGCCAGCTAAGCTGAGTCAAATTGGCTTAGCGCTAAATTTCTCTGCATTGTTTATCAGCACATGATAATAGTATTTCTGTTAAAATCGGATTCTAGAACCTGCCATATATTAATATCATGACAAAATCTGTTCATTTTGGAATAAAAAATTTCAAGTGTGAACATCTTGAATATACTAAAGCATAAAATTCCGAGTGTAAATTCAGGTTGTGCAAAAATTTCAAGCGTGATGCATCAAAAAGATTTAGTCATTTACAAGCACAAGATCTGCTCATCTTGGAATAAGAAATTTTAAGTGCAAATATCCAGGCTGTACCAAAGGATTTGTTAGAAGAACTGATTTAGATCTTCATATAAAAGGTCATCTTGGAATAAAAGATATTGACAAATTATTCTTACGCGTAATTTACATATTAATTTTGATCGGCACACGATGAACCGTTTACATTTCTTGCACGTGAACGTGTGATTAAAATAGTAAATAAGTAAGTTGGTTAGATTATTTATTAAAGAAATATTTATTAGTTATTTTATTCTACTTTACGAAACAATATTTAAATTCTACGCAAAATCATTTAATATTATTATTAGTATATATAACGTATGGCATTTTTAAAAGAGCCAGATTATGTTAGTGAGGCTGGACTTAATAACTTAAAGTATTATAAATATTCGTCAATTGACAAATCACCAATATCAAACTATATTTTAAAACCATATTGGAACTGGGCAATTAAATTATTTCCATTATGGATGGCGTGAGTTCATCATATATTTATTTATATGCTGATTTATAAGTTTATGGATTTATGATAAATTTTCTCCGTTTTATTAGACCAAATTTAATTACACTTTGTGGGCTAGGATTTGTTTTCATGAACGTGTTAAGTGTTATTTTTTGGATTCCTGATCTTGTTGGTCCTGGTCCTGCTTGGTTATATTGGAGGTAATAAGAATAATCAATTATTTAATTTGTTAAATTTGTTGATAATTTTAATAATTATCGAAAATGTTTTATTATCATCAATTTGGTAACATATTCACCTTTCACTTCCCACGTTATTGTTCTTATTTCTGATGGAGCATTGATCTGTTCATTTTTTTGTTAATAAATTGTTTATTATTCACAATTATACATAAATATCATCACTAATTCCATCAATAATTCCATCATTAATTCCAATAAAATTCCAGCTTTCCACTTGGACTTTGGCTTTATTCAACTTTTGATAATGTGGATGGTAAACAAGCTAGAAGAACAGGAACTTCATCACCACTTGGAGAATTGTTTGATCATGGATGCGATGCATTGAATTGTTCTTTAGAATGTATAGTCCTAACAGCATCATTTAGTGCAGGGCATTCCGTATATGCTGCAATTCTTCTACTTTCACTATTAATTCCATTCTACATGTCTACATGGGAAGAATACCATACTGGTACTTTGTATTTAGGTTACTTCAATGGTCCAACTGAAGGGATTGTGACTGCTTGTATTGCTATGTGTGTATCTGCAATTGCTGGTATGTTATTTTTGATTTTTAGAGGAAATGGAAGAAACATTTTAGTTTTAGTTTTATTTTAATTATAACATTTGTTTGTTATAGGACCACAAATATGGACAAAAGAATTACATGACGTATTTGGTGACCTTGTGCCATCTTTCATACCAGCTAATACTACGTTAATACATGTAATGCTTGTTGCAATGCTAATTTCATCATTTGTTATTCATGTTCCTGGATGGTAAGTAAAGATTTGTAGAATATAATATGGACTTATGGAATTACACTAAAATGATACTAATGATATTCATAACAATCAATTATTGTTATTTGTAGCTTGTATAATGTCTATTCAGAATGTAAAGCTAAAGATAAATCATTTTTGGCAACACTTCCTCAATTATTTGCAATAGCGTTGTATTCATTCTGTGGATATTTATGGCTTTCATCACCAAATTCATACATTTTGAAAAACCAACATTTCATTCTTTTCACTCTGACAGCCGGAATTGTGTTCGGACGTATGGCAACAAAAATCATTTTGTCACATTTAACTAAAATTCCATTTCCCATGTACACCGTTCTTCTGATACCTTTATTTTTAGGTGCTATCCTTACCAATTGTCCACGTTTCTTTGGAACGTAAGTATTTCTTTCATATTATTGGATGAGATTATTATTATTACCATTATTGTTGTTGTTGTTGTTGTTGTTATGTTATTATTATTAATTCGGTTTTTTTTTAATTTACTCCGGCGTGTGCAAATGACAGTAAAGAGATTCTATCAGAAACTACAGAATATTTATATTTATGGGCATATTTCATCTTTGCCTCAATTGCCTATTTTCATTGGGCTTTCCTTGTGATCAATAGATTTTGTGCTCATCTAAAAATTCATTGTCTTCGAATTCCTTATGAAAAAAAAGAAACAAAAGATCAGAAAAAAGTCCTTTAAAATTTTTTTATTCTTTGAAATAATAACTACAAAGTTTATGATATAAATTATTACGATATTAGTATAAATAATAATAAAATATATATAATTTATAAATATTTTAGATAGTATCAAGACATACTATCTTACGTTTTTTAAACCAATTACAATTGTATACATACCTTTAAAATTATTCCAAATGATAAACAAGCAACAAACATTAAATCTAATATATTAATAAAATCAACCTTCCTTGTCTACGCAAGCCTCTTCTTCGTAGCCACTTATCGGGAATACCCATTGGATGAAGTACTTGAATAAGATAGTTATCCAAGTCAGAATGAGCCAATCTTATATATTTTTATATATAAAGTCTTAGCTTGGTCATGATTCGGTGGGTTTGAAAGTATTGAGTGCTTCAGATCGTATCTGGGCAGACATCCTATTTAGGTGCAGCTCAGGGGGCTAAAATTAACTTCACTTGAAAATAACCTGATTATGATTAAATTTAACCTGGAACTGAAATCACCCTGAAAGATTTTTTTAAGCTAAATACATAATAACAAATAGGGGTTGTTTAGTTCTATTAATTCCCACATATATTGAGAATATTCGAATCGAGATTATTTATCCACACACCTCTTTATAATCAAATATCGTCTTCACATCTTGCGTGTTCTTATTTATAATGGTTATAAAATCTTCGTCAATTCTATGCATATACTGCGTAGGATTCGTAGTGAACTTACCTCGAGTTTTTCGCCTATTATTTCTAGATTTGCGAGACATATTTGACATATCTATATGAATGGATGACTTTGATTTTTTTTGAATTAATCTCAGATAAAAAAAGGGACGAACATAATTTTGATAAGACAAATGGTTAGAACCTTGCTTTATTTTACGAAATAGAAATGTTGCTGAGACGACGACAATATACAAATAAATAAAAAATATAGCCCCAAAAGGACGTAAAAAATATATCACAAATAAAAAAAATTATTCCATTGGTTTTACGAGAAGGTGAACTTGATTTGGATTAAGAGCCACATTGAAATAATCAGAAACCTCGACTGTCGAATCCGTAGAAATAAGTACGTAGAGATTGAAATTAGTAGAAAGTTCTTGGTGTCCTTAATTGCATACTTGAGCGTAGTAATATTATCTTCCTTACATATTTCAATTTTAAAACCATTTCCGTCTGGAAAACGACATTTGAGATTAATAAGATTGTTCATTTTGCGTTTCCTATTATTATAATAAGTATCCGATTTTTTGGGTCTTTACGGAAATGGCTTTTTTTAAAGAAATGGAAATATTCATTAAGCAAATATGGGTATATTCTAAGCTGAAAAGATCCCTTGACTCAAATTACATGTACTGTAACTGCATTATTTTCTCAAAAATGACAAAAAAAAAATTTGATTGATTTTCTTTCTGATGATGTCCCATATAGAAAAACAGCCTCAGGGATATGTCACACGACTAGTAAGGTTTCCAATGACTTTTCCGTAAAGCTTCTGAGATCTCTATAATCTACGAGTCGAGCATAAGGATAAATAATATGCCAGCTACATTTATCAATATTTGATGAACTAGCTAAAGCAAAATTATTTAATGAAGGCATACACCCCAGTATAAGATACAATGTATCTGCACAGGCAATTAATATTCTAGACATCAAATCTTCACGAGGAATTTTTCATCACTATCACCTAAAGAAGGAAGTTCCGGATTCGTGGAATCAGGTTTTTGCCTCACATCAATATCCAATATAGGACGAAGGGGCTAGTTCCCATCAATACATTCATGTGTATTCCATAAGTTTCAGAAGGATGATCTATTACTTACCGTAAAGCCATTTCCTACTACCCTAATTCTATATTGAGAATTAATATCTTCTGGATGATATGCCTCCAAGAGTGCTATATTCTTTGCATTATCTTCCGAAGTAAGTGCACTCTGTCCATTATATGGAAGCAAATATTCAAAATACGTATGTTCTCTATGACCAAATTCATAATCAAGATCTGTTAAACCAAAAAGAAGACTATATTCTGTCATTTTGTATTTTCTCAATCATGGGTTGTCTAATCTAAAAGAGTAAATAATGTCGCTTTATCAGTTTGTATTAATAATGATACAAAAAGTTTAATTCAAAACATAATTAATTTACATATGGAAATTGAAAATATATTGATTATTGTTACTAGAGATGGGATTTTATTCTTGCCCGCATACTTACATTGATGGACGCATTTGTGGAAAAGGCTGTTATCGACCAGAGTGTTGTCATATTCACTGAAAAATGTGACCACGTATCCCATGTGGTGAATGTGGTATGCCAACTGCCTCTTCATATGGTGTGTGTATGAAATGGATGATATGACAATAAACATGTCCACGTAACATTAAAAAAAGAAAGATGTATGGTGTAAAAATAAACACGTAGTTGCATAGGTACATGTTCACCAATGATTTCGTAACATGTTGATTGATCGGATAATGGTTCACAGCCATGATCTCATGCACCTGAGTTCTTAGGGAAAGAAACTGAGTAAACTATACTGAAAGCTCATCAGAATCAAATATAGATACTGATTACGGAGAGAAATCAGAGAGGGTGAGCAATACCAGTGTATTCCAGTTACCTTTAAAACTTAATCATTAATGTTTTTTTTGTGATTTTTGATTAGGCGAAAAGAAGATCCACCAGATCCTTAAATGACTCATCCAACCACTTCCCCGAACCTACCGATAGTAGTGAAAACGAGAATGACGAGAGTGAAAGTGAAGCAATTGTCTTCGAGTTGGATGAATTAAAAAAGTGGATAGAGTCTCTCAATCAAGAAACAAAGGTGTGAAATAAACTGAACTTTTTGATTTCCGTCAATTTATTTATATAACTGAAAATTGTTGTAATTTCGTTTTAGTGGATCGTAAACACAATTAATGTGTCAAGAAAGTTCAAAGAATACCAAATGTAATTAATAGAAGACGTAGTAAATGGAGTAAAAATAACATGGAAAGTCAAGTTTGAAATATTGCAAGTATTTATAATTTCATTGCGTATTCATTCTCGTATTTACACTTGATCGCCAAAAGTTTATATCCAAAATTTTATATTTGTGATTTTTATAACTCTGGTTGATTTATGAAATTTTTTTCAAAAATAAAAAAAATTAATTTTTTAATAATTTTAATAACTTGTTGTCCACTCATTATTGGAGATGCGCTCTTCTATCCTTCTTGGCATACTATCAATTAATCTCAAATATTTTTCACGCGAAATTTGTTGTCATTCTTCTCTCAAATAATTTTCTAATTCATCTTTATTTTTTGGGTGTGTAGGACATTTTTTAATCTTCTACCAAGCTCGTCTCATAAGTGTTGATTGGATCGAGGTCTGGAGATTGAGAAGGCCAATCTTCCAGAATCCTTACTTTTTTTTCAGATAACTATTTTATAACATTTTTTGCTGTATGAACAGGTGCGTTATCATCTTGAAATTTGTACCAGAAGTTTTCTTGAATGAATGGCAACAATTCATTTTCTAAAATATTTATGTGATCTCGCTGGTTTCTTTTCTGATATGTTTACTTTTAAAAAGACCAATGATTTGAGATCTTTGGGCCACAGTGAGTTTGCGATTTTTACCCATTTTTTAAAGAAATTGATCAAACATTTCAAAATTTCAATATCAGGTTTTATTTTCATAATAGTGACATCATAAACCAAAATCACATTTGTAATTAAAAATACCAGAGCTATCAAATGATAAAAATCACAAATATTTATTTAGTACATTTTTGTAATAAATGCAAAAGAAATTTTGGATATAAACTTTTGGCGACAAGTGTATATTTTAGAGCACTTTCGTCAATAATCGTGTTTATTAGACCATGTACATATCCTACTTTTACCACATATGAACGGGATCAAGTAGTCAATACTAATCCTTATGTTGTCAAAAAATCGATTTTGGTTGACCCCCTTTCATCCTCATTATATGAAGCTTGTAGTCACATTGCAATGGGCTTAGATCAGGGTTGGCAAATGTGCGGTCCATTGATGGTCTATTGGTGGTCCATTGGTCCATTAGTGTAATGCTTTAACCATATTTAGTATTTTATTAATGGCAATGGACCAGTCCAAAATCCATCTGTTCTCAATAGACCAGTCGATTTGCCAACCCGGCTTAGATTATAACTTCGTATCAAATGATGAAAGTGAATTGGGTAGAAAAGCTAGTCGCATATTTAATAATTTGTAAGTGGACTTTTTTTTTTGATATGAATCAAAGATACTAAATTCTGGAAATAAAATTTATTGAAATCTGATTCCTTTTAGGAAGGAAGAATTGCCACCGGCACCCAAGTCAAAAATTATGGAAGACGAGCATCGATTTCATTATTTAGATCCATTTTTTAAACCGTTTTTTTGTGAAGGTTTAAAAAATTACAAAATAAGATTAAATGAAAGTGTAAAGGGATAACTGAAAAGACCAGGTTACAGTTGCAGGGTTGATGAGATTACAATACGGTCAACCCCCTCTAAGTGCACCCCCTCTAAATGCACATTTACGATCAAAGAGGTCAATAAATCAGCTATTGCATAAAAAAGGTGGCCCAAATCGATCGATGATTTTTTTGAACATGATATGTATTTTTGTCATAATTCTTACAATATTTTTCTATTATTTTAATAAAACGCGTTCAATAATCTAGGGGACAATGTGCACTCATATTTTGTCGATTTACAATATGACGGTTTATATTGGTCATGGTCTTGGCTTTCCACTAAATTAGTACAGTCCACACTGTCTATAACGGATCATTGGGATCAGGAAATTTATCCGTTATAGAGTGTAGAAAATTGCACTACGATAAGTCATGGGGATAAATAATTTTTTTATTTGTTGTAATAGAAAAGGCATCTTTTCCATTGATGGTATTGACAACTTACCATTTTGTCAATATGGAAGAGGTAAACAAAGTATTTTATTTATTTTATTTCGTCTTTGATTTCTTTGATTTTAACTTTTATGATATAATTGTTTATGATTCCATTGCAATTATTTTCATAGCGAGAAGTTCAAAGGATCGCGAATGCTTATGAAAGTAGAATATCGAGGTTTCACACTCCTCCTGAACAAATCAGATATATATACATTATTGAAGAACCAGACTCGGCCCAATTAGAGAATTTATTAGATAGATGATACAAAGTAATAATCTTATGGATATATAAAGATAGTTAGTTATAATCGAGGTTACAATTTTTGTACCAATATGTATTTTAAGTCCTGCAATTGTATGATTTTTTTCGACAATAAATCAAAAAAATACAAATTATATCACCTTTATATGCAGGAAATCATGTATAATATTGGGGACATGTATATTAACTATCCTGATGATGTAAAGGTATTGACATAAGCAATGGAGTATTCTCAGATGAATATAATTTTATGTTTTCGAATACTGAGATTCCTGAAAGTTTGACACCATTCATTTATCTCAATTTTGACAGTATGATAGATTATCAGGCTTCAACTGGTTATTTGAAAAAGAAATATCCAAAATGCAATATCAGTAAAATTTCGTCCTTCCCATTCTGAATCACATTCTTCAGACAGGGGTCATAATAGCCATGTTGTTTTTAAGGAGGATTAGAATGGTTGTAACTCGGAATGTTAAACGGTCCTAAAAGATCAGTGGTCTGATGGTTGGTCCTTCATAAAGGTATCAACTGGTAGCCTTATAATCCTTTATCATGTAAAACCCCAGTCCTAAGCGGTCTTTTTTCAAATAGGACTGAAGTTCAGTCTTTGACCATTTTTATCAGTCTAATCGAGAAGGAATGATCATGTAGTTGTCTTGGAATTACTCGTTAATACAAATCTTTGGAAATTAAAAGATATGAAGTTTAGAAACAATTGCGTCAAATTTTATTAAAATAAAATAAACTAATCTAACGGATTTGTAAAATGAAAATGAAGAATATAAGTGTTTAAAAAGAACTTCATCGTGGTGTAATTACCATGTTTAGAAAGATTTACATTATTTATATTTTCGTCGTCTGCGGTTCATCTATTAGTACTAGCACTAGTGATATATTTCAGATCCTGATCCAAAGGAAACTATACAATGGATACTTCATCACAAAAACAAACAAACGAATCGACGAGTCAAACAAACCAAACAGTGCCATTATTTAGCGATTTGTGTCGAACCTTAGAAAATGTCGTCAGAGAAAAGATTCCTGAAACAAAAAGAAATAGATTGAAAAAATATATCCTAGTAAATATATTTTAGATTACTCAAATTATGATTAATTGATAATATTCTATCGATATATTAATTAAAAAATAAATAATAATTAGGACTTTAGACGTAGATATGGAGATGAACTTTATCCTGTTATGCGATTACTTATGCCACATGTAAATTTCAAATTATCATTAATATCATCATTATTAATATCAGGCAGCTTTAACAATCAATTGATTTTTTAGCTTGACAAAGAACGAACAAATTATGGAATGAAAGAAATGGTAATAGCAAAGACTTATATAGATGTATTGGCTCTGAATAAATTCTCTGATGATGCACAAAAATTGCTTCACTGGCGAACGCCTAATGGATCACAAAATGTAAGTGATAAATAAATGCCAATTGTTAAATACGATTATAATAATAACAATAAGACTTTTTTTTAAAAAAAAGAAAACAGCTGGTGACTTTGCTTTAATTGCATATGAAGTTATTGCACCTAGATCAACTGTGACAGGACGTAATACAATGACTATTGAAGATGTAAATAACCAATTAGATATTTTAAATGCTGCTAGTGGACAGTATGTCTATATTTATTTATTTGTTAAACTCTTGATTTTTTTTAATATATATTTATATAATTTATTTTTTTGGTTATCAGAAATGAATACCGTAATATTGTTCGACATTTTTTTACAAACTACACTGCTATAGAACAAAAATGGATTATAAGAATTATTTTAAAAGGCATCTTTGATTCCACAAAAAATTTTTTTTAAAATTATTTAAATTTTTACTAATTAGAATTAATTTAATTGTTTTTTTTTTTTTTAATAAAGAGCTTAAAATGGGAATGAGTGAAAAAACAATCTTTTCGTTTTGTCATCCAGATGCGCTAGATCTTTTTAATGTTTGCAGTGATTTGAGAAAAGTGTTTACCGATTTAAAAAATCCAAATGACAGACTTCCTTCTTCAGTAAGTTATTGAATTTATTCTATCAAATAACATTTATTGTTATAATTATTAAATTATACATATGTATATATGATTGATTTGATTATATAAAGGGGATCACAGTATTTCATCCGTTTAAACCTATGCTTTCCAAACCAGTCGCTATTCAGGAAATTTTAAAATTAATGGGTGGAAATTTTTGGATAGAAGAAAAGATTGATGGTGAGAGAGTACAACTACATATGAAAAATGGAAGATTTGAATATTATTCGAGGTTAGATTCTATTCTTCTTCTTTTAAAATATTCCTTTTACTTATTAAGAACTTTATAATAGGAGAGCAAATCAATACACCTATTTATATGGGAATAATAAAGATGAAGGCTCGTTAACACCGCATATCTACAATCAATTTCATCCCAGAGTTAATGAGTAATAATAATTAATATTATATACATATAGAAAGAGTTAAAATAATCATTATTTAATTAGAAAATCATTAATTTTAAAATAATAATTAAATTTCAAAATATTATAAAGAATAATATTGGATGGAGAAATGGTAAATTGGGATCCTACTACTGAAGTTTTCAGGCCATTTGGAACTTTAAAAGCTGCTGGAAAAGGTGAATATTAAAGGAAATATATATTACTATATTGTTTTTATTATAAATTTATTCAAGCCTGATATTAATACTTTTGGTTAGATCATTCTGATAATGGTGATAAAGAAATCCCTTGTTGTATCCTTTTTATATATATGAAGGCAAACAAATTGTTTATTTCTTAATTATATAACATTGAATATTTTTGAATTAAATTAAATTAAAAATCAAAAACAGACATAGTGTTTGATATCATTTTAGTAAATGGTAGACAATTGATTGATCAAAAGCTGGAGAAGAGACATGAATATCTTAGGTCTTTTGTTACTTCCAAACCTTATCATATAATAATCTTGGATCATAAAATTGGATCTTCGATGAAGGATTTAACAGATGCTATTGATGAAGCAGTTATGAAAAGGTTTTTTTCTTTAAATAAAATCTTTATAATATTAACAACAATAATAATATATAAAATTGTAAAGTTACAAAGTTTTACTTTATCATTTACATCATTATTATTTCATTTATTGTAGACAAGAAGGAATTATTGTAAAAAAACCATCTAGTACATATGTTTTAAATGAAAGGATCAATGAGTGGATCAAAGTTAAACCAGAATATTTAGATACACTTGGTGATGACTTAGATTTAATTGTTGTCGGTAATATTAAACAAAAGCATAAATCTATCTGTCTATTTTAAAGCAGTCCTATACTGAATTTAATATGTATAAACCTTTTATTAATATTATATCATCTTTCAGGTGCTAATTATGGAGCAGGGAGACGTGGCAATATGTTTGGTAGTTTTATGTGTGCTTTAAGAGATTTGAACTCATCTTCTTCCGATGGTCAAATACGGTTTGTATATTAGTATTGATTTCTTTTCTCTCTTTAATAATTTATTACAAATGGACTATAAAAATGTTTTTAATACATCATACAGTTTTTTATCATTTTGTCGTTTTGGGACAGGATTTTCAATGAAAGAAGCCGATGAATTAAAGTAGGAAAAATTCATTTAATTATTATTTTTTTAGATTATTTAACTTACGGAATTCTTTTTTTTGTTTTGTTCCAGGGCACTTAAAGGTTGGGAACGATTTGATCCAAATAATGCACCAAGTTGGCTTATAGTAGGTCGTGATAAACCACATATGATTATTAGACCAGAAATGTAAATTGAACTTTATCAATTATTATTATTATCAATTATTATTGACTTCTTATCACTATTATAATAATAATATTCTTCTTTTTCATGATTTCTTAATTAATTAAAACATCAAGGTCAGTCGTTGTTCAAATTAGAGCTTCTGAAATAATTCCTACAAGTAAGATATTTAAAATCAAAAAAAAAAAGATAAAAATTAATCAAATGCCTAATATCAGATAATATTAATTCTATAATTGTTTTTGAGATTCCTTTGCATGCGGATACACACTTAGATTTCCGCGGTTTGAAAAAGTTCGTTTCAATAAAGACTGGGAAAGTTCTATGACATTTGAAGGTTTAAATTTTAATTGAATTCAACAATTATTGGATTTTATTTATGTTTAATTTATTCATTTTTCTTTAATAAGAAATGATGAACCTAAGAAGATTTGCTGCTGGTCGTCTACAGTCAAAAAAAGTAACAGATGATGATTTATTGTATGTAAATTAAAAAGTTTTTTTTATGATTATTTTTATAATGAATAATTATTCATAAATATTTTATATTTATATAGAACTACTGCAAGAGCTATAAGAAGAGGGAAAACGGGTAGATCATTGAGAGTATGTATATTAAATAACATTTTCATTCTTTTTTAAAATAAAGAAACTTTAATGATTTTAAAATTTCTCTTATAGGGAAAAGGAACTTCTATACTTGAAACATTTAGTAATCGTTTGGAAACAGTTGAAAAGAAATCAACATTATTCAAAAATATGAACTTTCGCATGTATTGGTTTTTTTCCTCCAATTTATATATTCATTTCTTTCCAATTAATTTAATATTTTTTTTCTTTTAGATATTATGATTCCAAAATTTCAAAATTATTCAAAATTAGATCTGGAACGTATAATTAAAGAACACGGTGGTCGATTTTTTCAACATCATGAAGCACAGCATAATATGTACATTTTAGCTGATACAACTTCAAGTAAAGTTTATTATATATCACCTTGTTACAAATTTTTTAAATTTAATTATGTATATTTGTATTAAATTAGTAAGGAAATATTTGTTATAGATATTCGTATTCGTAATCTTATAGAAAGAGAAAAATATGACATAATAAAACCTCAATGGGTTTTAGATTGTATTGATGTTATGGAAGTTATACCTTTGGGACCAAAGTTTGTATTTAATATTTTAAAGCACGCGCATACATTTATCTAAATCATTTGAATATATATTTATCCCCCCCCCCCCCCCCCCCCTGCTAGATATATGTTGTTTACTACACAAGAAACGGCCCAAGAATTTCTTACTAGAATGGATGAATCAGGTGATAGTTATACGGACCCAGTAAATTCAGAAACATTGAAAGAGGTGTGTTATAACAAATTGATAAATTGTTATAGTATTGCCAAAAAAAAAAAAGGAAACGTTTATTCTCAACAAATTAATTTTTTGGGGTAGATTTTTGATGGTATGGAAATGCAGAAAGAAATCAATCTTTATCATGAGAATCATCTTCGGTTGGTTAATGAAATCGAGGAAAAATATTTTGATGATGGAGGATTACCAAATTCTTTATTTAGGAATTTGGTGGTTTTTATTGAGTATCTGCCTTTTAAACAATATCTAGACGGGGAAGAATCAAAAGATAGTTTATGGGCTTTACAAGAGGGATGTCGTGATAGGTGAATAAAAAATAATAATTGTAAATATATTATTATATACATACATGTCATTTATTTTATCTTATAAAAAAAAAAGATTGAAATATGTTGAAATGATTCTTCGTTATAATGGAGCACAAATATCAAACGATTATTCAATAAACATAACCCACGTGATATTTGATAATCAAGATTTAAGTCGTGTCAATACGGAAAAAGAATTTTTTCAAAGGTATGTTTTATTTATTAGATTGAAAATTTTTTTTGCCATTTTACATTTTTATTTTTAATCAAAAATTTTTAAACATCGTATAAGACTTGGAATATATCCTAAATTTCTGCGATCGTCGTGGATTATTGATAGCGATAATGCGAAATTTAGATTGGAGGAAAAAGGTTAATAATTAATTTATTCCAAGTTTATTAATTATAATACACACATAATAATTTTAATCATATTAAATATTTAGGTTATTTGTTATGAGCCGCCAAAAAAAATCGTTAAATTTATTTATTGATTTTTTTTATTTGCATAAATAAATACAAAGATTTTTTAATTTCGTTCCTCCTTTTTATATTTAATAAATGCAACAAGATTGATTAAAGCTTCATCTGCCCTTAATCTTTGATCGCGAAAATTGCGTTTATCAATAGATTTGACCTATATAAAATAAAAAATAAAATTGTTTATTTATCTTTTTTGAAACACAATACTATATATAATCCATAATTAAATATAAATTATGTACCATCACACGAAACGGATCCACTATATTTTGTAATAAATTCAAATAATTTCCTTGTACAAACACGTATTGATCATAATCAAAATTCTTGTCTGCATAAATGTCATAAATAGCATTCAATGCTTCAATAGCACAATCTAATATAGTTGAACCATTTGGTGGTAGATTTTGAAGTACATTTATCATAAAATCTCCAATGATCTATTTTTAATCAAACAATCAATCAATTAATAAATAATAATAATATATATAAACATATATGCAAGCATTGTAATCTTACTTTGTTTTCTTTAACGGCGTTTTGTCTTCTTGCAACAACACCTAAAGTACCGATTATTTTTACTCGCATACTATCTGATATAGAATGATGATACGAAACAATAAATGTTTCTATTTGAGCTTCGGAAAATGGCTAAATAAAAAATTTATCATTATTATTATTATTGTTACATATTAAAAATAATTAAAAAACTATATATATATATATATACACACAACATATCCATCTAAACCTCTTGCCAAAGTCCATAGACATCCAACCAAAGCTTCCAAAATAGAGCCTCTCATCTCTTGTCCTGGATCCTCAGCTCCAACTTTAACACCTTTACCAGCTACCTGGTTAGCCAAATCAATCAGCGTTATTGATAATTGTTTAACATCATCTTTATGTTGATCATACCAAACTTTGTCCTCAAAGTCTATCATAGACAAAAAAAAATTATTCATACATTCAATTGCCCGAAGATGTATAATTGCTAGCGAGGATGTTATAATAGGTGCAATTGTAGGTGGTGGCATAACATTGGGGCCCATTTGTTCTTGAAAAGAAAGTTTGGTTGGTGCGGCCAACCGAATTAATGCTGGCAGTATTATCGTTGTGAATGTTTCTAGAATCGATTTTTTTTGACTATATAATATTTTGTCATTGTCTTCATCAATAATAGAGTTTTCTGTGTCAAGCATAGGTGTATCATCCTCCATGTTTTCAACTTTTACTGCCGCTTTATTATATTTTTTTTCGTAACCATTCAACCCTATATCATCACCACCATCCGTCTCTTCACCTTGGCTTACATCTTCCCATCCATCGTCATCATCATCTAATAATTAAACAATAAATTCATTTAGAATTAGCCTATTGTTAGGAAAATTAAAATTTTATTTTAATAATAAATATGCATTTATTTACTATTCACTAAGATTTCTAAACAAATTTTTGATATTAATTCAAGTACAAGTTGTAAATTGGTTAATTTAGAATTAATGAAATTTAACTTCACCTAAAATTTTTAATAGGGAATACATATGTGAAATTCTAATAAATATACTTTTTATCGATACTGAACAACAATTTAAATAAATATATATATATATTACAAACCTCTTTAGGTGTTGGTGTTATAGCATCCTTTGAACCTTTTATGAGAGTGTCAGATGTATCCTGATTTTAAATATGTGTGGGAGGGGGGTTAAAAAAAAAATATCATAAATTTTTGAATAATTTTTAACATTGTATGATTATTTTGTTTAATTAAAATAAAATTACAATGTTATTAGCAGTTTCAATTGCTTCTTCAGCACATTTTTGAATATCAAAAGATAAACATGGTATCAACACAGGAATTATATAAAAATTTATATCGGAAAATAAGGATGGTAATAGTGAAGGTGATAGGATTGATCGAATATTTGAAAGAATTCCTAAAAAAAAAAATTCAAAATAAGTAAATATTATATCATATTTGAAATAAAATTCAGTTAAATATTTAACTTAAAAAAAAGAAATACCACATGACAAAACTTTAACATTCAAATGATCATCGCTCGTTTTGTTATCACCAATTTCAGAATTAATATGATGATAAAGTAATTTTAAATATTCTGGATTATTTTTAAAATGAAAATAAATATCTGGATTCTCGTCTGTAAGGGTGTTAAGACATTGTGCTTAAATAAAAAAATAATTTAATTAAATTCGTTAGATTTTAAAATGCACGCATACATACCATAAATACATACAGTATGTTGTGCGTGAAAATCAAATTTGCGTCAATTTGAAATCTATTAATATTAATATTGATTAAACTTTGGGGTGGATGTTTGAATACAAAATTCTGATTGGCTAATTTGAATTTCACCCACGTGAATTTCAAGTTGACGCAGATTCCAAATTCACGCACAACAGATATATATATATATATATTGATACACAAGTAAGTATACCTGCAGCAATAATAGTTTGAGTAGGAATTAATTCTGATGGCGTAAAAAAAGCTAAAAGGAATGAAATAATATTTGCATTGTTAATGCTTCTCAGAATCTTTTGTGATGTCTCACTGGAAGGAAAAAAAATTTGTTTAATGATTTAATTTTTTGTCTAGCTTTCAATAAAGCATAATAAAGATAATATATTTTTTTTCCTCACCTTAAAGACCAAAATATGCAAATAATATTTTCTGCAAACTTCCAAATCGTTGATCTAGCGGCTACAAATGGATCCGATTCTTGAGGAATGCCTTTTAATATATTATTAATTACAACAGAAATCTAAGTAACAATGAAGAAAAAAACATAATTGTTATAAAATATAAAATAATAATCTAGAACTTCACTATATCATTAATATTACTTTTGGTATTAATGTTATCAATGGCGTAAGAATATTTTTATTAAACATTTCTGCACAGATATCATATTCTCCTACAACTGTTAGATTTCTATTATATAAAATTATATAAAATATACAGTAATATATATAAAAATACAACGAGATTCATTATTAATACTACTGCATAGTAAAATCTCTATTTCTTTAAACAAAGTCTTGTATTATCCTTAGTAAATCAAGATTTTGACTATATATTTAATATTTACAAAATTAAGCTAAACAAACTGATGCTTACCTTAATGTTCCGATTGCTTCAAAAATCACTTCATAAACATTATCTGTTAATCTTTCTATTAGTGATCTTATAAGATTCTTTGATAATAGAAGACGTCGAGTACCAGGATCTGATAATACCAAATGAGAAGCACAACTTGCTGCCCATGCACGTTCATTAGCATCAAGTGATGACAACTTTAATAATAATTAATGATAATGATGGTGGTGGTGGTGATGATGATGATGGTGATGACGATGATGGTGATAATAATGATAAAAATTTTTAATTTCAAATTTTCAAAAAAACTTCATTTAAAAAAAAAAAGAACTTTACCTGCTTAATCACAGGTAAAATATCCTCACTAGTCATATCTTTTTGATTATTTAGATCGTTATTTAAATCAGTAATTTTATTATTATCTATAGGAAATGCCAATATACTTTTTTTGGATTCCTTTTTTTTCGATATTCTACCCATTATCAAAGAAAAAAAATTTTTTTTTTTGATTAGATCAGATTAAATGGCGCCGTGATCAATAAATAAATATTAAACAATGCGTGCATTGAAAATTCTATAAAGAGAAATAAATAGACAATCATCTACTTACATAAAACTTCCTATTGATAAACTAGGGATTATTATACTCTATAATTCGTTTATCTGTTATTATTTCAAAATTGAAATTTACGTAACGAATTTCAAATTTTTTCAATAAAAACTTTTTTTTTATCAAATACATCAAGGACAACAAGAATCTACGAATTTTTATGAAATGCTGAGAAGTATGAGTAGTCTATGTGGTTCGGGTGATTGGGTGAGCTAGCCCTTGAAATGACCTTTCACAAGCACTTACCAATTTTTTCAACTTTCAATAAAAAAAACTTATACTATGTGTGGATAGGGACCAGGAAGTGACGATGGTCTTGATTTACAACCTTGCGCAAGAGAAGTGTATGTACTCTAGTAATATGCTTGTTATGGGCATTCTTTTTTTGCTTTAAGAAACTGCATATATATCATATGCATATGATCAAATTTGTCTTTTTCACTGAAAAGCATTTACAACGTTTTGGGCCGTTCAGTATTTTGAATGCCATAATTCCCATCGGTTTTATCGTTATATCCATAACAGATTTATTATGTCGTCTAGCTTGCTCGCGGACAGGAAGTCCACGCTCCTCTCGTTACCACTACAATCAACTATCAACAATACATGAACGTGGATATATACCTGTCTCAAAATATGATATAGGTCAATTTGTTATATCTTTTTTTCACTTAGGATTTGTGAGCTTTCTTGTTGGCTGGAGATTCGATGAATATGATGAGAACAATGATTACGGACTTTATTGGGTTATTGGTGCTGCTGGACAATTTGTATCATGGGTAATGTAATTTATTATTATTATTATATTTATATTTATATTAATAAAAAAAAATATGTCTAATTTAATTATTTTAAAAAAAAATTCGAAATAATTTTTATAGTTTTATATAGCGGCTTTGATAGGATGTCATTTTATGACAAGAAAAAATCAAACACAATATGCATATTTAAGACATCTTCTTATTTTCTATACACTTTTTTTAATAGTTGCATGTATTAACCTTCGTTCCATGATTAGAAAAGGAATAGATGTAAAAAAAGGTTATGAAATGGTTTTCGCCATATGGGATGTTATTGCTTGTACTTTATTATTTTGTTTTTCGTTGAAAAGACCTCGAAATCCTCAATTGAAACCAGCTGTTAAAAATAGAGAAGTATCTCATGACACAACTGCTTCTTTATGGTCCTTGCTCACTTTTGCGTGGATGGCTCCTATGATTAAATTAGGAAATACACGTGTTCTTAATGAGAAGGATTTATGGGAATTGCCATTTAAATGCCAAGCAACAAAATGTTACAATGAATTAGAAGGGTAATTTTGTTATATCAATATTTTTTTTTTATTTTATTTATCTCAGTTATTTAAAATTTAATTCCTCTTTTTTAAATAGAATATCAAATGTGGGGTTATTTTCACGACTAATTCTTGCTAATGCTAGAAATTTAGTCATGTTTCTTATAATTGCAATATTAAGATCAATGCTAGCATTTACAACGCCATTTTTTTTGCAACAATTATTGAGAACCTTGCTAGATCCTACAAATCCACTTGATGAGAAACCATTTCTTTATGCATTTGGAATACTTGTCTCTGAACTTTCCAGAATAATTTTTTTAAATCAGTTGAATTATCAGGTAGTTTGGTTAGGTATTCGAGTAGAACAAATGCTTAGTGTATCAGTTTATGAAAAACAATTGAGATTAAAAACTAATGCTAGGAATGGTAGTGTTCGCCCAAGTAATCTTATCACAACAGATGTTGACCAGATTTCAGGGTTTTTTTCAAATCTTCCATTCGTTTTGACGATTATCTTGGAAATAGTATTGGCAATTGTTTATTTATACGTATTATTGGGTAATTCTGGCTTTATTGGTATTTTGGTAATGGCAATATGTCTTTACTGGAGTAATAAAAGATTTAGTAGACGTGTCACTGTTTCACAAAAAAGAGTTAAAAAAGCAAGGGATGATAGAGTCAATAAAACATTTGAGGTAGAATAATATAAATATAAATATAATTAATTTATTTTATATTTGTTTATTTGCATATTTAAATCAACTATTAAAAAAAATTTTTTTATTACCAACTTTTGTAGTTTCTTCACGCAATTCGAATTATTAAAATGTTCGCTTGGGAGGATATCTTTTATAAGAAATTGATGTGTAATTATTTAAAAATTATGTATAATATTATATATAATTTATTATTAAAAAAATGATTAATATATGTTTTTATTGGTTATTAACAGCTTCACGTGAAAATGAGCTTAATCAACTTGGTCGTTTTTTTTGGCGCACAACATTTCACACTCTACATATACATGTTACACCTTTCCTTGTTACATTATTTGCTTTTGGCTTTTATACTTACTTTGGTCATGAATTGACGGCAGATATAGCATTCACTAGTATTACACTATTCAACATATTGAAGCAACCAATGCAAATACTACCTAATCTACTAATAGAATTTGTGGGATTCAGTGTCGCCGTCAGTAAAGTAGAAAAGTTTTTATATGAAATTGAAATCAAAAGAGAAATATCACCTTCTATTTCGGATCACGATAGAACTGTTCTAGGAATTTATGATGCTAATATTTCCTGGAGCCTTGATCCAAGTACCAGAGGCAGTAATGCGTTTACTTTGAAAGGTGTCAACTTGGAATTTCCTGTAGGAAAATTAAGCGTAATATGTATGCATATAAAAAATTTATAGTTATTATTTCATTATTTATTATTTATAAACATGTAAAGGTTTAATCACCATTATTATTGCAAAGGCGGTAGCAGATCATCTGGAAAGACTATGCTTATCCTATCACTTCTTCGAGAGACATTTATAACGCGTGGAAGCATTCAATTTCCCGCTAAACCAATTGCATATGTGCCACAACAACCATGGCTAAAGAGTTCAAGCATAAGGGATAATATTGTATTTGGCGAGGCATTTGACGTTGATAAATATTGGCATATAGTTGATGCTTGTTGTTTAACAGAAGTCTTTGGAAGTTTGAAAGAGGCTGATTCTACAGAGGTATATTTTTTTTTTTCATTTTGTTTTTAACAAAATCATAATATATGTCTATCTATGTGTATATATTTTAAATTTTTTTTTGAAATTTGAATTTAATAGTATGATGAAAAAAATCTAATCCTAACTGATAGCCAAAAGGCTAGGATTACTCTGGCACGTGCATTATACAGTTCAGCTCAGTACTTACTAATAGATGATTTTTTATCGTCTATTGAATTTGATATAGGTTTTTATTTTTCAATTAATTTTTTAACGCTCTAAATTAATAGCAATCAATAACAATTCTTGTTATTATTTAAAGCACAAAAGATAATTGAAAATTGTTTAAAAGGATCATATGTTAGTGGAAAAACCGTTATACTTGTAACCCAATATGTAAAAAATTTTTTGGATACTGCAACTTACGTAGCCATACTTGGAGAGTCTACAGTTCTAGCTAAAGGTTCACCTGAGGAAGTTCGTGCATCTGAGTTTTTAACAGAAGAAATTCTTGATAAAGACATCAAGTCAGATTCAACAAAAAAAGGAAAAGGCGAACAAAATTTATTGAATCAAGTAACCGAAGGTTGTCATTTTCAACAACATCAATGACAACAAAAACTTTACTATTAACAAATAATTTTATTTACTAATTTAATTTCTTTTATTTAGCACGATCTCAAGGAAAAATACCAGCTCGTGTTTATCGTTTTTATATGAAATCAAGCGGTGGATTTTTTATATGGTTAATACTGGTTCTTTTTTTCATCACTGTTCGATTTTTAACAGTTTGTGAAACCTATTGGCTGAAAGTATGGTCAGATGTATATGAGAAAGATAACATTACTACTACAATAGTGCAGTTTTCGTATAATAATCCAAAATTTTCAAAATATCATATATTGGTTTATGGTCTTATTGCATTAGCATCTGCATTGTTTACTATATTCCGTACATCATGGCAATCATTTATATCGCTTAAGGGTTCTAGGAACATTTTCAAAAAACTGCTAAACTCTATTCTAAGAGCGCCTTTAAGTTTTTTTGATGCCATTTCACTTGGAAAAATAATTAACAGATTTTCAAAAGATTTAGGGGTTTTAGATCAAGGTCTTATTACAGTTATTTCAAGTTTTTTGGGAAATTCTGTTGGTGCATTAAGTGTGCTCGTAGTTGTTAGTGTTGTTGTCCAAGAGTTTATTTTTGTTTCATTTGTAGTTGGTAGGTGATCAATTTCATAACACATTTTTTTGTTTGCATATTATTTGTAATTTTTTTACACAAAATAACTAACCAAAATTTTTTTAAATGTTTTGTATAGTTGTATTATATTTTTATGTTGTCATCAAATACATAAATGTTTCAAGAGAGTTAAAACGATTACATTCTGTGACTCGATCACCAGTGGTATCATGGTTCAATGAAACAGTAACGTAAGCAATTTAATACAATTGATTTGGCTTGGTCTTTCAAAAATTTATATTTCATTTTTAATAATATATAACTTGATTTTTTGAAAAATTATATTAGGGGCGTAGTAACAATAAGAGCTTTTAGCTCTGAACGTGACTTTTCTAGGAAATTTATTAGCAGGTAAATAAGAATGTTTATTGTATAAAAATTCTTGTAACATTTTAATAAATCTGTAACGTTTATATCATCTTAAACAAATCTTTATGGTTGATAGATTAAACACTTCCAATAGAACAACCTATCTTCTTCATATGTCAAATAGATGGATGTCGATACGTTTGGGTATTATTGGTGCGATTGCTTCATATTTAGCCGCTATTTTTATATTATGGGATATAGAAAGAATTAATGCAGGATTGGCTGGTTTCTGTATGACCTATGCGCTTGGATTTGTACAAATTGTATTTGTGAGTATTTATGATCAAAATGATTATTTGATTTATTCATTTTTTTTTGTTTAAGTTTTAGTTTAATTCATTTTTATTTTTCCCCGGAGATTTAGATGCTTGTTAAAGATTATTCAACTATGGAAACTGGGTTTAGCAGGTGAGTTGCATATATATAAATCATTACAAAAGACTTTTTATTTGAAAATTATTTTTAAAGCCACCCATTATTATGATTCATATTTGGTAATAAGTGTTGAGAGAATTGAGGAATACACTCGATTGCCACAAGAGCCATTATCCACCATCAACAGCAGCAATTTACCAGCAGCGGTAATTTGATACTTTTAATTTAATACATGCATAAATTAATGCAAAGATTTTTAAATTTGTTTTATCTTTTTATTGTAATATATTTTCAGTGGCCTACAGATGGATATATTGAAGTATCTAACCTAACAGTTAAATATTCGCAAGATGCAGTGCCAGTACTTCATGATGTTTCATTTGTTGTTAACCCAGGAGAAAAAATTGCAATTGTTGGAAGGTTACTTAAAATTATATAATTGATTTTATAGAAGTTTTTTTTTTATTGATTGATGTTATTTTTTTAAAAAAATATTGCAGGCCGAATTCTGGTAAAACTACTCTAGTCAATTCATTTCTTAGACTTACAGATACTGTTGACGGTAGCATAATTATTGACGATATTAACATTGCAAATATTGGCTCAAAGGGTTTAAGAACACAGCTAACAATTATATCGAAAGGTACTTGCTTGCTTACTATATCGTTAATTGTGTAAAATTAATTAAATCAATGGATGATGATAATAATATAATATTAAATCAATTGGTTTTAGATCCAGTTCTTTTTGAGGGAACAATTCGTTCAAATCTTGACATTGGTGAAGTTTATAATGATGATTATGAATTGTGGGATGTTTTAAAAAGGGTACATCTGTCTCAAATTGAAAGTGATTCAACAAGCAATCCACTTTTGAATATTGGTCCTATTACAAGTTTAGAAGATCCTGTGATTGATGGAGGTAGCACGTTTTCTAAAGGACAGCGACAACTTATTTGTTTTGCTAGAGCATTACTTCGTAGATCAAAGGTATAAAATTTTTCTAATTTAAATTTCTTAAATATTTTAATTTATATTTTAATCAAATCAAATCAAAATCTTTATTTTATAATAAAGATAATAATATTGGATGAAGGTATTATTATTTTAAATTGTTATGTATATTCATATTTAAACAATAGTAAATTTTAAATGTTAAAACAAAAAATTCTTTTTATTATAATTAAAGCAACTGCAAACGTTGACCCCGATACAGATGATAAAATTCAAAAAATTATTCAAAATGAATTTAAATATAATACAGTGTTATGTGTATCAAACCAATATAAAAACATAATAAATTTTGACAAAATTTTTGTCCTTGGTAAGTTATTTTAATTAAATTATTATTTTATTCATTTTTTTAGTTTGTTTTTTTAATTTTGTTCTCTTCTATTAGACGAAGGTAGAATGGTCGAATTTGATACACCAGATCAACTTTTGAATAATCCAAACAGTGTGTTTAGGCAATTATGTGAACAAAAAGGAGAGTTAGAAACATTAATGGACTTGGTGGCGGGCTTGGCAAAACAAAATGATGTTGTGAATGAAGAGCATGTAGATAATAAAGGAGATGATGAAATTAAAAATTATGATGATGATGGCGATGATGAAATGAATATAGAGGATGAAGATACAATTGGAAATGATGAAGAACCACCAGAAAATGATGATGATGAATCACAAGAAAATAATGAGATACATGAAGAAGTTGTTGGTGATGACGATGATGTAGATGATGATGATGACGATGTTGATGATTATGATGACGATGATGGTAATGATGACGATGATGATGTAGAAGAAGAAACATCAGAACCTGATGAAGAATTATCAGAGTATGGATCAGAATATGAACAACATTATGACGATGATGGTGGCGACGATGATGGTGATGATGATGATGATGAAATTTAAAAAATAATTTTTTTTTTGTTTATATAACATTATTATAACTATTTTAAATTTTTGTACAAAAGTTGTAATAATTAAAGTTATTATTATTTATTTATTTTTCACGAATTCTTGACAATCGAATTATGTTGTTTAAATATCCCATCTTTAGTAGTATCCCAAATATGTGCCGGAATAGGCTGGTAACTACCATTTGCCGTAAATAATTACGGCTGTCGCGCGACTGCCGCAAATATATATGACTGCTACAAATAGTTTTCAAGATTTGAATGAATTTAATTGGTCAGTTGTTCACTTACAATGAAATTATGTGTATAGTTGGAAAACCGTAAAAGTAAATTAAAATAATAATAAAATAAAATACAAGTGTCTGTAATTAAATTCTATAATAATATGGTAAATAGTTAAAAAAAAAAAGAAGGAAGGTATTGTTAAATCTAATATAAAGACCAAAAAAATAATAACAAGTGTAAGAAATTTATTATGAATTTGAACAATTATACTAATTATTATATTCTACTGAAATATTGTTAGCAAATTCATATTTTTTTATTGGAATTTTTTTTTTCGACAAATTGAGGGTTTTAGTTGTTGATTTTTTTTTTATATACATATGCACATACAAATGTATGTTTGCATATATTATCATCAATAAAAGCAATTAAAGTTGTTAAATTTACAATTAAATAAGATACACTATCCAGTAAATTCAACTAGTGATAATTAGTAATTCATGTTCCATTTTTTATAATCAAATGAATTTATTCTTTTTGTTGACCAGGATCTGTGCCTTTAGGAGTTTTAGCCATAATGTGCATGATGCACTTCCATTGCATTCAATTGATATGAATCATCTCAAATAAAAACAGTTCGATTTTGTTAAAGAACAATTTATAATTAATATTATTTTCTTATATAAATGTTTTGACATTTCAAATGCTGAATAAATAAAATGTTATTACATTCTTTTTACATATAATTAGAAAATTCTAAGTAATGTTTAGACTTCTCCAAGTAATACTGATAAATAGACAGCTTTTACTTAGTAATAAGTAACTTTAGACTAGTAATAATTTGGAGTGCATAGCTTATACTAACAAAATATTACCTTTTATTAAGAGTTACTATGGTTTTTTGAAGAAATTAAAAGTTTTTACTAAATTATTTTGTTTGAAGTTTATAATCTACTACATACGCATAGAAAAATTTTGACGCGTTTTGCATAATTTTATTATTATTATGTAACTTGTATAACAGATTTTTGAGCCGCCGATCTACATATAAATTGACACTCCCTTAATATTAATATTAATAATATATTTGCAAATCGTTTATTAGTTAATTCTATTTGGTAAGTTATATTGTATAGTAATAGAAAAATCAATTAAATAATAGAAGAATGTTGTTAAGAGTGATGCAATTATTATTAATTAGTAGTGAAGAAGTAAATAATAATGTACAAATTTAAAATAAAATACAGTTAATTAGTAAAATAAAAATCGAATATAAATATTTAAACGCATCTTATTGCCTCTGTTACACCATTAAACCAAATTTGGGCACATTTACGACCTGCTAACTCGCATGCAAATGTTAAACATTCATCAATTGGCATTTTTCGAGACAATCCATATATGATTCCAGCATTAAAGGTATCACCAGCACCTACAGAATCAACAATATTGGGTATTCTATGAGCAGATGCAGAATAAAGTTTACATGTTGTATTATGATAACATGTGGCTCCTAAACTTCCCCAAGTACAAAAAAGATATGCACTAATTATTTTTAAAAAAAAAAAAAATAGAAAAAGATATTAATAATTTAACTAAACCCTTTTGGAGTTGATAGTCAATTTAATATTCTTTTTTCGATGGTAATTGCTTAATACTAACGTTTTTTTACAAAAAGGTGACATTATTTGTAAGAAATCATTAGGATTAGTATAGCCTTTGCCTTCAGCAAATACTTTTGAGAAAAATAAAACATCTGATTTATTCATCAAAATTTCAAAGCCTTTACGGTAAGGTTTCTCTAATTCGACACTAACAATTGCCCTTGACCTCCAATCCTTACTGTCAATATAATCAATCATTTTTGATACTTCTTGTGCATTTCTTCCTTCAAAATGAATCCAATTAAAAGGTGCTCCATCTTCATCTTCTACCTCATAATTATAATTTGACATGTTGAATATTGTTTCTTCAGCACAAATTAAATCAAATTTTATTTTTGAATTCATCAAATGCTAATTCATCTATGCTATTATTTTACATTTCGGGAAAATAGAAAATTAATAAATGAATGCCAATAATGAAGAAATTGAATTTTTGATTTATTTCGTGAAATTATGAAAAAAAAAAATACCTATTATAATTTATAATCGTTCTTGAACTTGTATTGTCAGCATGCATTATATATGCTACCGGAGCATGAGTTGCATTAGATCTGAATATACATGCCGAAGTGTTTATATCATGAACTTTAAAATCCTGTATTAAAAATCTATAAGTTAATAGAAAATTTCAACTTATTGTACTGTAAAAAAAAAATTAATGTGTGTACAGAACTTACATTGAGGCTTCTTTTGAAGCCATAGAGGCCATAAAATGACATGTTGTTAAAGGGAGTTGTGATAAAACAGTTAAGGTGTTACCAGCATTCCCATCTCTTCTTCTTTCAACTCTTTGAGCTCTTTGTTTACCATCCTCAGGAGGAAACCTATCAACATACAATATATATCTTCGTATGCAGAACCAATTGCAAGCATTTTTAAAGGTATTGGTTCATTTTCAATGACATTATGATGATGATTATTACTGCTAGTAACAATAGTATCTATTCGTGGCATTGATGATAATAATTAATAAAGCAAATAATTTAATATATTTTTTTTTCATGGTATTTATTATTTAAATTGTGATCAATTTTGTCAATTTATACACGCTTTGATACAAAAAATTTTGGAAGAATATCACGTGAAAGTTGTTTGACCAATGAATTTAAAGAAAATCATGATCACTTTGCCGTTTTTGGTATCCAATGAGAATATAATAAAATACAGTAATGAATGGGCATTCATACACAAAGCAAAATGTGTAGACGTTACACTGATATCTGAAAAAATTGTTTTAAAAAAATAATTATAATCATCATGAGATTTAAAGTTGAAAATCTTTCAAAGAAGAAACCAGATGGAAGCTATTTGTTTAAAGACATTTCATTTACTCTTTTTGATAAGGAGATAGTAACTATTACTGGACCAAGTGGCGTTGGGTCAATATAATAAATGAATAAAAATGAATATTAAATAAATAATCTTATCTTTTTTATTAACGTTGTTTGTTTGAAAATTAGCTAGCAAGACAACATTATTGAAATGTCTTTCACAATTAATAGTATATGATGATGGCCATGTTTTCATTGATGACAAGTAATTCTAATTTTTTTTTAATGAAAATATTGGTTGTTAACATATTGTTTGAATTTATTTCTATTTTATTATATAGGGCACCAGAAGATGTTAGCATTCCTATTTGGAGAACTCGTGTTCTTTATGTTCCACAAAGACCTCGTTTGTATTCAACTAAATTTTTTCAATAATAAAGAAAAAAATATAATATTATTTTTAATATAACATATGAATTAAATATAGCGATAATTCCTGGCACTCCTTTGGACTATCTTAAGAAGATAAGATCTTTTAAAGCACAACAGAAAATCGTGCATTTACATAATGACCCTGTATGTTTTTTATAAAAAATTAGTGATATTAAATGACGTTATTGGTTATTAAATTTCTTTTTTATTTATTTATTCATCTGGATTAATTAAAAATTAATTAGGTTGAAATATCTTCAAGGTAATAAATCATTATAACAATTTATGGCATTTATTGAAATATTATAATAAATTATAATCTTTCTTTTTGGCTGATATTATAAAATAATGTTTAGGTGGGATATTAAAGAAGCATTGTGGGAAAGTGATTGGAATCAATTATCAGGTGGTGAAATTCAACGTATATCACTTGCAATTGCATTATCCTGTAGCCCTGAAGTTTTACTTCTTGATGGTAAAAAAATGCTTTTTTTTTTTTTGCAAAATTATTAATATTATTATCATATTCATGACAATAATAATAAAAAAATTATTACCTTTAATTTAAATCAATAAGAGCCAACCTCGGCACTTGATCAAAACTCTTGTTTATTGGTGGAGGAAACACTCAAAAATCATTCTTGTATTTGGATCACGCATAATCCTGAACAAGAAAATAGAATTTCTTCATACAAAATTGTTTTAAAACCTCACGAAGAAAGTAATAATGATGACAGCAACAACACCGATGATCTTTTATTAGATATCTAAGTATCTGGAATTTTCTACTAGACACAGCATATATAATAAAATCAATTATTATTGTGTTAAAATGTATTTTTATTTCATCTTTTATTGGTTCTTTATAGGTTCTTTATAAAAAAAAATCTCCAGTTAGAAATAAATACAAGATTAATATTAAGTTTAAAAATTAATGCTATATTTGCACACATGGGCCTGTTAATAGAAACAAGGAGTGTTGCCCAAAAGTAAATTTTGGTTAATAATACTCCCGTGTAACTCATCACGAAGAACATTTTTAGCTTGGAACTATACACACTTGAAAAAGTAAAGGAACATATTGGCATGCTGCAATAAAGTGAACATTATGTCACAAAGAAATTTCAAGGATCAAATTGCATGCTTTTTTTTAATTATTCCTCCATATAGTATTAATTGATTATCTGCACATGTCCCAACTTGATTATTACATACACCATAAAGAAAAATATACTTGAAACAAAAATTTCATATGCATTACACTACATTATAAAGAATTATATTTTTTAAAATAAACCTTTCTTTCTTTACTAAATCTTTTCTTTCAAGATTTACTTTATTGCATCAGAAATGGTGTAAGCAAGTACCATAATTGATCCTGAGTTTGATAGAAAAATCAATCATGATGGTATGTGCGTTTGTCATAATCCTGTTTTTCATGAACATAAAAGCTATTATAAAAACATCACCAACTCACTCACTTTCAGGCCAAAAAAAATCAACTATAAATCCTTCAATAATCATTGCTAACACAATTTTATTTTATAATGAATTGAATAATAATGAAATATTTGCAATATTTTCTCACCAATAATAATTTAATAAAAAAAATGCTTACATTCAACAATGAACTTTTTTGCAGATTGTTGTCTGGATTTCTTGCTTTACTATAAACTTACAAGAACCAATTCTATGATATCAATAATATAGAGCCAGGAAACAAATTCACCAGCGATAAGGAATATTCAAAGGAAAAACTATGGAAAGATTTCAAACAATTGTATTGTTTGATAAAAGATGGAGTTGGATCCAGTTTTTCATTCAGCGAAATGGCAATTGAAATCTACGAATTGCTTAGAGAAGGAAAGGAAACTGCTGCCCCAGTTGCAAAAGTTTCTATCAATGAAAAATGAATCCTATATCCAGGAATGGGTTGATAAGAAAGATGTAGAGGACGATAATGATGATATAGAAGATGAACAAGATACTAATATTATCATTAGTAATAATATTATAGTGAAAAACATACCCAAAGAATAGTATTTTTCTTTTAGTTAATCAAAATAATAAAACATTACTTATCTTTTTTGTTGCAACTTCAATTTGCGCCTTATCAAATCTTTTGGGAGGTGGAAAGGTTTTACCAATCTTTTGAATCTTTTAACATAAGGTTTTATTGTTATAAGAGCTTTACTTATAGAAAGTTGGAGAGTATGTGTAATACATGAGAGACTTTCAACTCCTTCCCATGTGTCAAATGCTTTTCACATTATCCGTTACTCTACGAATTATTTTATTTGACAATTTGAATTCTTCTATCGAATTTTTCATTTGTATGTGGATACGGAATCCTTTTTATAGTAAGCAATATATCAATTGGTTCAAATTTGGTGAAAGCCAATGACATGTTGCTCCGATATAACCCCCCTTTGATCTAAAGGTTCAAAGGTCAGTTGTAGTGGTTGCAGTCTTTAATTAATTCAACACCAGAATACAATTTGAAGATTATGGAAAAAAAAATGATTTAGTAGATGTAATACTGGTACGTTTCCCATATGAATTACGTGATGTGCTAATACTAATGTGAAATTTGTGTGGGAAACGTACGGGAAAAACGAATATTAGTATTATAATTAGTTTTCTGTAAATTTTGTGTGTATTCCATGTGTGTCCCGTACCTACCGTATCTTTTCCGTAAAAAAAAATGCTAATACTAATACTAATGCTAAATATAAATACGGTTCATGTACTGTTTTTCCGTACTAGTCATCTTCCCGTTAATAATTTTTTATATTGATGTAATTCGAATACTCAATTTATAACGAATAAAACAAATAATTCGAACAAATCTTATTCGGATAGAAACCCTAGCTGAAACTATGATTAAATCATGAAAAATATAGTTTTGGCAATTTCGGCAATTTCGGCACTATGTAGGAGTTTTACCTTTAGACATAAGGCCAGATTGTCTCCAGAAAAATCCGCCTCAGAGGTAAGTTTGTTACACGGAAAAAAGGAAAATCGACCTCGGGCACGATTCCCTTTTTTTATTAAGCAAACAAGGTCTAATATCTTCACAGTTATAATCTGCATGTTATAGGATAGTGTTATGTAAAAACCACAAATTTGGTCAAAAGGCCTCTGAGGCAGTTTTTGCTGAAGACAGTCCATGTCATAAACAAGGTGAAAATTATTGGTCAAGTAATCTTGGTCGTGTCCATGTCACAATAATTGTCAAAATCTGATGACAAAAACCTTCACTTATGCAGGTAAGTTAGATTTGCTAAAGTGCAGGTGGCATTTCGTTGCTTGTGTATCATTCTAAGGAATTTAACCCGTTGCAGGCATGGCATTTTTGTACTTAGACAGAAGAACAAGAGGAGGAGACCTTCTGGTTTGAACTCATTGTAGTGTTACAGATATGAGTAATTATTTTTTCTATCAATGTTTCAAAATTTCTAATGTGAATGGTTTATTAATAGTTTAGTTTGAATTTGGCACCCATTATCAGTTGAATATTCTGTCAGGCACCAATGGTGAAACTCAAAGGATGCTTGCCGGAATTGCTGTAACTGTTGCAACTAGTGTAACTGGAGAAACTGGTACAACTGATGCAACTGGCAAAGCTTTATAAATTCTTTATTGCTCAAAAATAAAATTTTAAACAATTTATTTAATTATTTCAAAACCATAATACTTTCTACTAGAGCACTTGTGACATATTTGCTAAATTATATTCTTAAATTTCATTAATAATATCTAATCTAAAATTTGAATTGAATTTCTAAATAATGATTATCAATCAAAAAAATTATTAATGATTGATGAATCAAATATATTATTCCTTATTTCATTAATATTCAACTCTTTAACAAAATATTTTAATTCTTTATCTGAGTTAGAAACATAATAAAAATGAATCTTACACATTGCTTCAACCTTGTAATCTCCATAAATCCTTTAATGTAGAGAAATTACATTCACAAACTGCTTGAGATGGGGATATTGCATACAAAAGTAACTTGTACGAATAAATGTTAACTTTGTTGCAATCACTTACCAATTGATGCATGACGCAACTTGTGATGTTAGACGAATCATCAATTATTTTATTTGAGAATTTTAAAAATAAAAATATTAAACGCGAAAAAATTTGCTCGGGTCTGATTTTGATGATCAGCCTCATTGTTGAATTAGTTATATATTTTTTTAAATACTACCAATTCTACTTGATTTTTTAATTAACTTAACGTAAAAAAATCATCTCACTAAAAATATACCACACTGATGACGTGTATGTATCAATTGAACTCTGACAAAAATGTGTCTCCTGAACGTTACATGAAAATTTTTATTTTAAATATCAAAATACATATTAAAAACTGTTGTTAGACCTGGACTTGAGGTTTATTTACAATTTTATTTGCAATGGTATATATATTTATATTTATATACAGCCATTAGATATGTTTACACATACCTTGAATCAATTAGTTCAATTAATGTTGGTTTTGCTACTAAAGTTGAGACCGTAAAAAAAGAAATTATAGCAGATGGAATTAGTAGCAACAACAATAGGGTGATGATAATGGAAGTGTTAAACATAAAACTAGGATTAGAGTTGAATGGAATTATCCAGTGTCTGATAGATTTGATTTTTGAAATATTACTATTAAAATTTTTCGAATTTTCATGATAAAAATTGGTAAGTAATATCTTTGATACTATAGAGTTAAAAGATGATGTAAATGAAAGTTTAAACTTAACAAAAGCTCCTCGTGGACTTGCAAGTTATTTGGTTTACACATGAAGCTTTGACCTTAATTAAAAGTTTTGTGACAATTTAGCCTATGGTCACGATCCATTTCGTTCGGAAAACCCCATGCGACGTATCCTGTACCATTTAAATTATCTATTTCCATTAATTATATGGTAATTATATTTTATAAACTTTATATTACAGTAACTATTTACTTCCATTAACCAATGGAAATTACCTTTGTACTATATAAATTATTTAGAATTCATACAAGGAAAATAAAATACAACATTTAAAACAATTACATATATACATTTTTCCAGTTTTTTTAATTTTAGTGTGGAAGCTGCAAGAGAAGTTTTTCTGTTGGTTGGTATCCTCCTTGTCCAATTTTTCGGCCTATGCGTCCGTCATTCATTAAAATATATTTAAATTTTACTTAAAAATAAATCTTACATAATTAAATTTTTTATTTTCTCTATGATGGTTTAAATCCATTTATTTGTGCGTACAATACATAATAAGTCAACAATACCTATTAGTGTATTGGTCAAATAAGTTTTCTCAATTATCTGCTAAATTGATCAGTATTAGGGGAATATCACAACTATGATCAGTAGTAAGTCATACAAATAATTTTAACTGATACTAATTGTTGATTTTACATCTATGAGAACTAGTTTATATCAGTCAAGAAGTTTTAAAAATAGTTAAAAAATTGGCATGATCTGAGGCATTTAATTTATCCATGTTTAATGTTTGATAATGAATGGCAAGTTGTGAATTATTAATTAATAACCACTACTGTTGTGTAATTTTTAGTGTTTATTTATAATGTAAATAACAATAGGGTTATGTATTGTGTTCTATATAAAGAAAAAAATAATTCCAAAGATGAATTTATTATCAATATCATCGACTATATAAATAAACCGAGCGCGCTAATACTAATCAAATCATCATTCAAACTTGGTGCAGCTTTTTAATAGAGAGAAAAGGTGCCGTATTGCAGTTATTCTTAAAAATTACCCTTTCATCAAGTAAATTATTATATAAATAATATACGCGTAATTACTCAGTAAACAAAAGAAATTATTGGCCATTATATTTATGACGTGATAGAAAATATAAAAATAACAAAAAATAATTTTGATTTTTTTTAAAAAAAAATGGCATCTAAAGAAATCTTTGTTGTGAAAGGAGTACCGTTAGTCTTTTATGTAAAATTTGAAGTACCTGATAAAAACACATTAGAACAATCAATAACGGTATAATGAATAGGTTTAAATTTTATTTACCAAGTTTTTTTCTTGTTAAAATAAAAATTACATTGAATGCATTTTAGGAACATGGTGGCAAAACTATAGAAAGACCAAGTGATGCACAATGGATCCTAGCGGATCCATTGAAAATACAAAGCGCTGTACATAAAGGAAAAACGTTGTCTTATAAAATTATTATTGATTCAATAAGAAACAAAGAGTTCCAATCTATATCACAATATCAAATAACTTGTGCAATGAAAAGAACCGGGTATTTAATTTATATGTATATATACACATATATATGTAGAAATAAAAAGCATAGAATAATGATTATTTAAACGGTTTTTTTTCTTTGGATTATATATAGAAGGACCGAGTTCACACTTCAAGATGATCTTTTTTTAGAACATTTTCTTATAACCAAAGCTGATAATCTTCGTGGAAGAGTAATATATAAAGAGCTTGAGGAATTAGTAATTATGGTTATTTATATAAAATTACAAATATATTATCATTTTGGAAAAGAAAATATATATAATATAAAAAAAATTTTTTTTTGTTAGAATGATAGACATACATGGGAATCATGGAGACATCGTGCAGTCAGATTTGTTATTCCAAGAATGGAGAAAAAAGGAATGCTTGATTTGAAAAAAAAAAATTACCAAATCAAATCAGCCTCTTAATGCTATAAACAGCAAAGCTTGTCTTTAATAATAAATACTCAAGATTAATCCATTATTAGTGTGACCAGAACCCTGGAAATTCCTATGATAATTTTTAATAATAGTATTAGTAAGCATGAATATTTTAAAACCACTTCTTAAAAATATGTTTTGATTGTTTTATAACATTATTAAAAAAGATCAAAAGAAAGAAGTAATATTAATATGTGCATATAATAGTGAGATATTACAATTTCTATGCCATGGTCCGAAATCCTGCTAATCCAGAACAAATAAATTATCATTCAACCAATATTTGAACCGGATCCACTTGTTCTATTTATTCTGGATTACCATATTCAACAATCTTAGCAACTGGAATTACAACAGAAACCTCAATTTCCAAAACACAATCAGTTCACCAAATGTTAATCAAATGCTGCATGTAATTCTTCTTCCTCTCTCAATTATAGAAACCTCCTCTTCTTCACTCACCTATTTAAATGAAAATAATTTAATGGTGTATGTTATTCATTTTATTTTTAAGAAATAATTTTTAAGGAACTTTACGATTTGTGAACTGTGTACAATACAGAGACTACGTAGAAACTCAGCCACTAAATAATTTCATTACCACTTGGATGACAAGGCAATGGAACCCTTGTTTTACATGGAAAGGAGCTTCGGATTAAAAATTCAAGGGTTTATTTTCCTCTTTTCTCGTTTTGCTTGTAGCTTTTTCAAAAGTGGTTCCTCGACCTTTCATTTCTGCATGGTCTAGGGTTAACAATTGAGTCAGGCGCAATTAAAAATTGAGATTTTGGGGTTTTGCTGATTAATTTATTATTCAAATCTTTTAACAATTTAGGTGAATATTATGATTTAAAATCATACCACTACCAAAAAAATCTCGTTGTCCGTTGGTTGTAACACAGTTTAAATCCAAAATCCATTGGAACGAGAATTTTTTTATATTAATAACGATTTTTTATACAGTATATTTAATTATATTTATTATTTATTATTCATTTCTCCATCTCATATATTGATTATTCATACATTAATATTAGTTGTTAAATATTTGGCTAACACTATGTCAATATCAACAAAAGACGATAACCATTAAACTCAATTTGCGCAACTGAAAATCCGTCGTCTTTATTCAATAAAAACTGTCTTAATCGATTGATGAGAGTTGCAAAAATATACTTTAATCAATAAAATCATCTTTAGTCTGCAAAATTGGTTTATAATTTATATTAACATAAAATCTTGAATCCCGTGTATTTTAAATATACCTCGTTCTTGAATGAAAATAACCATAACAAGTCTTGGCTTAAGAACAAGCTTCGACTTAATAAACCCATGTTAAATCAAACCTAAACCGTCACTAGTAAAAAGGCTTATTTGATCTGATCCACTCAATTTATTTTATTGCCATCAATTATTTCACCCTCCCGCCTAATAATAATGATAGTAATGATTATAATAATAACAGCAATAATAATTAGAAATTTATTTTTATAAATATCAATAAAATTGTATAGAGGTTGGCACTGCGCAAAAATTCTTTAACCGGCTATAGATCCAAAAGAAGATGAAGAGATAGGCAAAAACGTTTTAAAAGGACAGTATAACTCTCTGATGATGATGAGGCAGATAACTGGAGTATAACGTGTTCTATAATGAAGATCATGCGGAGCATGGATTTGCCAGGGTATTATTGGAATTCTAGTAGTGGAAAAAAAATTTATAAAGAATCTACTAATCATTAATATGATTATATATGGGGGGTTTTCTAGCAAAAGGTAGTAATCCCTGCAAAATATGTTACACATGTTTTGATATTAATATTAATATATAAATCAAAAATTTTCAATGCCTTGTATCTCATTTTTTTACTAAGTAAATGATGACTGATTTTTTTACCCTTATAATATAAATATATATTATGCAAAAATCTCAATTTCGGTCAGAGGGCAATTAAGCTACCTTTTGCTGGAGAACCCCCCATATACAGATGGAATAACAGCTTAAAAATTTTGATTATGGGGAATTCAAATTTGATATTGTTACCAGGATCAGATGATGACGACGATAATTTGGCCGAATCCTTTAATTTTGGGTCAAATTAAATTTTATTTCTATTTTTATTTTTATTTTTATTTTATTTTAATCTATTATTTATTTTTATTTTTATCTATTTTATTTTT